TTTTTTACAAATTTTGCACTGTTTCACCATTTTTAAAGTTTGTATGTTAACAAAATAATGGGAAATCACTTTCACAAGAAAAAACTGAGAAAATCCGATGAACAATAACACTAAACAATCTCTACAACGCCAACTGTCAAAACAAGTTGATGGAATTATGAATGAATATTTTATATTCCGTTGTCTAAGCTCACAATAAACAACGTAATATGCCCCGCCTACAAAATACTAGCTGTTGCCACATCTCGTAAAAAATACTTAATATCCAATATACCACTAACAAGTTTTGGAATTTATTGAAAATAATTACATCTAATTTAGTGAAATTATATCTAATTTAGTTAAATTTGATATAACAAATTATTCAACATTTTTTGGGTTCAGTTGCAGTAAAATAGGTTGAATTATTTTAGCTTTTTTAATATATGTAAATAATTTTGTAAACAAAACGAGAATAATGAAATAGGCATATGACAACAGCGGATATTATACCCTAGTGTGTCCCTTAGAATATGTCTTATTCACGACAGCACGATATTTGTAAGTAACTACATCTCCTGTTATCTCTGAATGGGAGTGTCTAAAATATCAACAACTGATTTCAACAAAACTGCACTCAATCTATAAATATCCCTAGCTTTAGAATTTTTTAAATCTTTGATAATTTGTTGGAATTCTGTTGTATCTGTGGGGTTCAAAAATATTGATGATTAAAAGGAATTTTTTTAATAAAGCTGTTAACATTAGTAGACTGCTTGCAATTGTCAACTAAATCGTGAATTACACTTTGAAAGAAATCTGCAAAATCATCGACAGACACATTGGTTTTAGAAGATTTACTTCTGCCCAAGTTGGTGTTAATTATTTGCCAAGCTGTTTTTGTTTATTATCAGACTCAAATATGTTTTTGTTTATTATCAGACTCAAATATGTTTTTATTGTTCAAAAGTACCGATTCCTTATTAACAATATTACGGTATTCTTTTTTTAAAAAACGATAATAATTCCAAGCTTTCCGGTGACTTTGTAAAATTGAATATTACTTGAGTAGCATCTGACTTAATGTTTGCTAAATTATTTTTAATTTTGATTACTTTCTTTTCAGGAAAACATTGTAGGTACAGTTTGGATAGAACGTCAATAATATTAGCTTGGTCGTTCTCATTAAATTTATTTAAATCCCAACTTAACTTTTTTAATTCAGATCTAAAATTATTTATGGCCCTTTCAGTCATTGGCCTACTTAAAGATGCATCGTTTACATTTTTTGTATCGCTAATTAGTTTAAGTGTTATACCCCTGTGATCCGAAATAAAAGGCTCAATGACATCTATAATAAAATTTTCTTTTTCTAAGTTTGTAAATAAATTGTCAACTCTTGTTCTACTTTTATCTGTTACCCTAGTATCTAAAAACACTTGTTCATGTAATTCAAACGATAAAAAAATATTTCTACAATCAGCTCTGGTGTTTTCTTTGAAATTAAAATCACCAACAACTACTGTTTTGGAGTCTAGGGGAGTTTTTTGTTCTAATAGTTTTGAAAATATGGACTTATTTAGGGTAAAATGCTAATGTAATTTTGGTAACCCATTTGTCAAAATTAATGGTTTTCTATTCATTTGACGTTACAAGTAATATAAACCATTTTATATAAAATTAAAAAATCAGTTTTGGTGTAAGGAATGCCAAACAAAATAAAAAGTAAAGAAACTAAATTATTAGTTAATAAAATTGGTAGCATAACATACAGGATATTCCACTTGAAAAAAAAAAGAGAAAATCCTAATATTGCGTTTTGACACATCCAATATACAACGTAGCAAATGAATGAAAAGGCATATTTTTAGAAACGTTAAGTCTATTAATTGTTTGACGATGTAAAAACAATTAAATTTGTTATACAGGGTGTTTGGTACACCCGTCATTTATGAACATTCCTGTATATTTAATAATAATCGTAATCGGACAACTTTTGTATTAAAAATGTCTTCGTATCTTCAATAATAAAACAGCTATCGATCAATTACGCGCTGATATATGTATAATACGCTAACATAACGGCATCGTTAGATAGGTAAATTTATAATGAAATTTAGTGCTAAAATGGTATACAGGGTGCTGAATTCGAAAAAATTGAATAAACTGAAATTAAAAGAAGTCATATTTATCAAATGTTTCAAAACCGTCTGTATCATGCCTGATATCTTATAAGCCTGTATTGCAAATATTGTTCAATTGATTAATAGGCTACTTAAATTTTGATAATTTTTAATTAGGGTATCATTCTAAAATTTCACCTAAAATTAATTGCTTGGCAAACCTGTAATACAACAGATAAAATACAGTGTTTCATTTAAAAAATATATATTTTTACATTCAAGGCAAAAGCGTATCACCCTGTATAACCAAAAATTTTCTATAATATGCGTTTTTCAAATCCATATAACTTTTATTAAACACTTGTTTGCGTGTCTATATCACAAATTGAAATATCGAGCAATTACGCACATAATTTAATTAGAACCTGTTAAAGCCTTGCTATGTTAAATTCACAAACACAGTATCGAAACCAAATTCATAATGCACTAATTTAAGAACCCTTTCACATGCCTATGGGGTTATAAAGGCAATTCACTGCATGGTGACTTATCTACATTCATCCTAGCTTACATTTTCAAATGACGTTCTAAAACGTTATGGGCATGGGTATAACGTTAATGAACGTCATGGGCAGCGAAAGTGTCATGATGATAAATAGATTAAATTTATACAAAATACTTCTAATACAAAAAATTTTGTCTTTAATTTTTATGCAATATCCAATGACGAACTAGACTAATTTTGTTTAAAAAATTTTCAAACATTCACGGTTTCATCCACGTAGTTGTTGAATTATTATGAGAAAGTATGGAGGGAGCCTTATTACAAGAATTATTGTTTATGGTTATAATTAGGAATTGTCAACATAAGGACGGTGATACCCGCTGGTTTTTTGTATATATTTTCTACAATAAAACTGTGGGTATTTATTATTTTTATTAAAATTATTACTTGTAGACTGACTTATTGAAACTAGACTTTAACCCTGTATTGGTTTTGAAGGGAAATGACATAATCTGAAAGGGTACTTTCTTATAGGTCTAACTTAGATGTTATCAAGTCTGAGCGGTTTAAGGCAATGTGGTTTTCTACAAAAATTAAATATCCTACTAAGGCGTGATTCGTCACGGCTATATATGCGTGAACCTTTTTTTTTCTAGTTGATATTCTTAATCCTCAGAGAATATTTTAGCTTTCGTATCATAACTTTCACTGGGGGGGGGGGGGGGTTAAATAAAATCCGTTAGTAAAATAAACAAATATAATGATTTAAAATGAGGTTAAGTGAGTTTTGACATACCAAAATATAATAAAATCAACAAACAGAACAAGAAAATAAGATAAAATTCCTAGTAAAATTTAAATTAAGTTTATGACGATGGCATTAAGTTTTAGGATACTAACATTGTCTAAATAGCAATTTGTTTATCCTTCATAAAAATTGAATTTATGATAGTGTAATTAAGAATTAAAGAATTGATACAAATAGGTAATATATAAAAAAACAAATACAATATGAAATAGTTTTGCCACTGTCACAAAATTTAGAGGCTACTCAATTCAGTTTAGAGCAGGTCGTAAACCCAGTGAATTCTCGTTTCGTTTTTTTTTGTTACTTATAAATTTTGACACCAATAAAATATACAATAACTGTAATTTTTATTATTACAGAAAAGGAGAGAGTACTATAATCGCTTAAACAAATTTATCGAGCTACAAGTTGATACCATATAACTCAAAAGATAAAGTTAGTTATTGTCTCATTGGACCTACCCCTATTATCTTGAGGGTTGACTGTTAATCCCACCTGTATATAGGTGATCGTCCCCGGAATCGCCTTATCGGTGAACACTACTAAAAATAAGGCGCAAAACTACACAAAACTGTTTGCACCGCGAATTTTGTTTAAGTCCCAAAAAAAAAAAATTATAAATAAACCCAGTGAGATGTTTTTGAGTCGTTCCCCGCGATGATCTAACCCCAACTTTTAATCCTCACAATGAAGCGACACCAAGAGCGCGCCAAAGGTACGAAGTGCTCTTTGGTACTCCCTGGCATCAACTCTTTTTTTTTTAATCCAACCCGCGTTGAAGAATGTAGCTTAACTGATGTATCAGCAACACGTGTAGTTTCATAGCCCACACAGTTCTGTTATTTCACATAGCTTGCGAAACTAAGTACATGGCCCAGTTTCGCAAAAAAACTTTATCAACAATTCCATGATTTTTTTTTATGTCAAGAAACCTTTGTTTGTATAACGACGTCCGGTTGAATTATTAAATAAACTATAACATACTCTTTTATTTGCAAAATTACACATTTATCTATGAAATGTTTACTGGAAAATTATGATTTTGGTTATACCGAGTGGCACGAATAACTTTTATTTAATTTAAATAATTTGAATTATATTTAATAATCACCGATTATTACAGGACCTAAAATGCACAAGAATTTCAAAATTACATTAAAGAAGTATATTTGCGGTCTTAATGCTAATTATTATCAGTTTAATGTATTTTTCTTGTTACAACCATAGTTGAAGTTGATTTCCAGGAGAGTACGCAATTTATTTTAAATTGTGTGACAGTAGTGTAAAGCAAGTGTAGTAGCCATAATTACCAATTCATTCATAAAACATGTACTCGCATCTCATAAATATACTCCTGCAAAACTTATCCCCACTCAAATTGACATCCATCTTGCTGTCTAATGCGGCAGCCGATGTGACAGCTCTGTCTGTCTGATATGAAACATAATCTGAATGCTTGCAATAAATAAGGGATAACTATGAATGAATGGATTAGTCTAGTAGTTTTTCTTCATTGATATCCCACAAATAATATAGTTACGATAAAATTAGATTTGTGGAATACTAATTTAATGCTATTTTTTAGTATGGAGATATACAAGCTTTAGTAATGTCACCAAAGAAAAATGGAAGTGCTCTAGTAGAATTTACAGAGAAAAAAGCTGCAGTAAGTGAATTTAAAATATTCCTATTTATCTTTTAAGAGTCTGCCTAGACATGTGGAGGATTTTGACTGATCATCAAATTTTGACAGCATTACCTATTATCTTTTTTGAATTTAATTATTTGTATTTTATTAAGTAAAGCAATTGAGGACATTGTTGCAAGAAGGAGGCAGCTCCATTTTTGGTAAAATTTTAGTTATTTTTTCTATGTCAGCGGCGGCTTGTAACCAAAATATTGGGGTTCACGATGACAGAATATAGATCTCATTACAGATGTAGGTAAAAAACTTTAAATGTTTTAGGTATAATATACATTTCTATACCTTCTTAAAACACTGAAAGTATTTTATCTACATATGTACGGAGATTATATTGTCATTGTGAATCCCCAATATTTTGATCGAAGCCGCCACTGCTCTATGTACAAAATTAGGCTTAATCGATGGTCCTAAAAAGTAGGTAGCTCGATAGTAAATGGCAAAAAATATTAATTTTTCTTCGTAACTGTTTGGTGGAAGAAGGGTGCAAGTCCGGACCAACAATGTGGTTTACAACTCATCATTACCTATAAAAAAGGCAAAATACAAGGACCTGATGCAGTTAGCTACCAACTATATTCCTCCCAATGAAATGGCATATTACCAAGCTTTCAAAAATGAAGTAGTTGGTGATGAAGAAAATGTTTCCCATACATCAGGCATGATGGTTTTATTTATAAAAAAAAAAAAAATATATATATATATATTTTAATATAAGTTCAAAACCAACTTTGATGTAAGAGGGGGTCACCTCCAATTGTTTTTTCCTTCAAATAAATATATACCACCAAGAAAGGAGTTGAAAGTTACATGTAAATATTAGATTAGCATGTTTAATTTTTGGTAAAATGAGCGGAAATTTTTAAAAAACGATTTTCTTATTTTCCAAGAGTTAACAAAAATGAAGCAGCAACATCCTCAATTGAACATAAATTATATTTCTGATAATAATTTATTTTATGAAATGATACTGTAAAATATAAGATAATCACCATATTTTTAGGAAATGGCTGTAGATTTTGAAGTTGGCTTATCAGCAAATCCTTTAAAACTGGAATGGATAAATGGACCACCTCAAAAAAACCATGGCAGAAGTTCCCTAATTAAAGATTCCGATTTTGAAAGTGTCACATTAACAAAATTAAGACAAGCTGAAGAGAGAAAAAGGTTAATTGCTCAAATGATGGCAGAAGATGAAGAAACTTGAAAAAAATTAATAGCAATGGAAAGACATCCCATACAATAGTTGTAGAATTTTTCAATGTGTTGTATGTACATAATAATTAAAGTATTATTTTAATTTATAGTGAAAAAGAATATTTTTGTTACATCAATTTGTGTTTTCTTTTTAAGTCCTGTAAGTTTATTGCAATAGATGTTCTAGCCAGGTTTTATTTAATCTTCTGTTTAGGGTGTTTAGGTGGATTTGCCTACACCACCCAATCTTATTAAACTTTAGATTTGATGGGGTGGTGATGAAATTATTCAAGGGAAAGGTTAAAGTCATAAATAAAAGAATTGAAAAAATTTATAAATTTAATATCATTGATGATACATCACTGTGCAAATTAACAAAATAATTTTGTATTAAAACCTACGTAAAATTAAAATCTTTTGAATATATCACAGCTAATTCTAAACTTTATAAAGAAATTGCAACAGTGTCTTTTTGATTTAGATATAAAGTTGGGTAAAACATACCCCGCAAATTATAAAATACCTGATTTGTGCTTAAATAACTGATTGGTAGAGTATAGGGTGAGTCAAGAAGTTGTGTGTATAATGGATTAGAGACATTAGTGATTTATCTATGTAGTAATCATTTGTTTCATTAATATTTAATGACAGTTATTTGTAATAACATTGTTAAATTCATAAGTTATTTTTTCCTCTTGCCTCTATTAATGATATATTAAAAATGATTTACTTTTATAAAACGACACATTAAATGGAGTTAAAATAGCTTTACTTTTGCAGTAAAAAGTAGATAAATTTATATACACATAATTTCTTGACATTTTATATTAAAATATTTCTAAAAATTTGAACAAACAAAACAACAATAAAAATAAAAGTTTCAAAATTACAAAATAAATAAATGGACTGTATAGAATGATTCCAAGATACACCGAAAACAGTTTACAAGAAATTACTTAGATTACTTAAAATATAAATATATATAAAAAAAATGGTAATGGGCTCGTTCACTTTCATTTTTGAATGTGAATTAATTATATATTTATAAAGATATTAAACTCTTTTGTCTGGTGGTACTTTTCCCGTTAAGATATTTTTGCTAGAAGTAAGGGAACTCCCATAAAATTCTTTCAGTGACTCATTGCGTCAGAAAACCCCTAATTCCCTTCAGGTCTCGTATCGGTTAATAGTTAAAAGGGCGCGGTTGTCGGATGTATCATTGCACCACCATTCCTCTTCTGCATTTATTAAAGAAATTTACATGATAAAAATATATTATTTTTTTAAAATAATGTGTTTGTATTTTCAGATAAAGCTGGAAACCTTACCTTTTTTAAATTTTAATAAAAACAATTAGTATTACTCAAGCTGAATATTACCAGATCGAAATTTTATTTGAGAAAATGTATCTGGTAAACGTGACAACGTTGTAAGTACTTCTAAATAGTGTTGTCTACACACTTCTAGAAATAAATGCAACGTTGCCACGTTTACCAGATAAATATTGCAAATCAAATTTCTACTTTTTAATTATGGTCTGGTTAATTTTCAGCCTGAGTAATAATAATTGTTTTAATTAAAAAGTAAAAAATAAGCTCCCAGCTTCAAATCTGAAAATATGACATCACGATTTTTAGAAAAATAATGGAATTTTACTATTTAAATTACATATAAATGCAGAAATGGTATATTAGGAATACTTCCGACAACCCCGCCGTCTTTAAGCATAACCGATACGAGACGTGAACGGGATTTTCTGACGCAATGAGTCACTGAAAGAATTTTATGGGAATTCCCTTACTTCTAGTAAAAATATTTTAACGGGAAAAGTACCACCAGACAAAAGAGTTTAATATCTTTATAAAAATATAATTAATTCACATTCAAAAATGAAAGTGAACGGGCCCATTCTTTGAAATCCAATGTGTTAAAATTTTGCTATATCTGATGTATAAATAAATATTTGTTTATGTAAAAAAAAGTGCTCTTGATTAAATTTTAAAACAATAAATTTTCAAAAACGCATTTTCCAATACCATTTTTTTCATAATTATTAATAAAAAATAGCTCCAGTAAAAAACAATCAGTTTAATTTAGAATCACTCTGTATATAAATAACAAATAAGGCGTAATTCTAGGATAATTTTCGAAATGCCTGTTTAACTACCTGTCATTTTACTTAACAAAATTATTATGTGACTTTCTACAGATTAGTTTCATACAGTTTATTTGGATTTAAGTGATAAAATTCTCTTCTAAAAAGATATATAAATTGTACAACTCTAAAAACATGAATAAATTAGATAACAATAAGACTAAGAAAGTGCCATTACACCCAACTTAATTTACAAATATTTTTGAACCCATTATGTAATGATTTTGAGATGATGTGTCATTATGAAAACAAAATAATTTTCAGCCTGTAGTAACCATCCAATAAAATGTATATAGGCTCTGAAGTTATAATACCAAGGTTCTAATTGACATTTTTCTTCAATTCTTGCAGATTGATTTTTTTGAGGTTCAGTTTAAAATGTTTGCTGCTTCTATTATTATTTATAAAAAATTACTCCATTATTCAAAAGTTTTATCAAAATCTACTTAGGCTTGTTTATATTATATAATATGCATAGCATTGAATTAATAGATCAGGTTAAATGGGGGGGAGGGGGGGAGAAGAGTGACACCAGGGCCGTTTTTTACTCAAACTTGTTATACTTTTGACATAATTTTAGAAAATGCATTATTTATTATTAATTTATTTTTAATTGTTACGAAAAAAAGTCATTAATAAAAAATGTTTAACAAAAGATCGAGTTTGGTGATCATAAATGATAAATATGTTTCATTACACGATTCTATTACTAGGTATAGTCAAAAGTATCAAAATGTCAATTGTTTGAAAATGTATCCTGGCAATGTATAAACAAGGCAGCACACAAAAAATACTGTGTGGATCTAACTAATCTATACACAAGTTTTATAGCAATATCGCATTTAACCTAATCTGTGTATTCAGTCCTGCATTCTTATGTCAACTTGTTTATATGCAGTTCAGTTTCTTTTAAAATCCGGAGTGGCTATAAAAGTCAAACATCGCTCACTCTATACAGTAATACTAACTGTCATAGTTCTTCTTCGCAAAACAGCCCACCAAAAATATTTAATTTTGCCACGTCACTTTCCATTTGATATTGTCATTAATATACAAAAAAAAATCCTAAAGTACTTCTAGTTCTAGACATAAAATTTAAAAGTTATAAGTACTCTTATTGCACTTGGTAGTTGGTTCTTTTCTAATAAAAAAAGACAATGTCAGGCTTCACTCAGTATATAAAACATTCTTCCAAATTATCATCTGTAACCGTTTTAAAAACAGTTTACCAAATTCACTTTGACGAATAATGCCTCTTTTTGAAGAGAGTAATTTTATAATAATGTAGAACTTTTTAATTACAGTATGTAGAACCATTTGCAATATTATAACAGCCACTATACAGTTCGCAATTTTCCTTGCTACAAGAGAAATTGCCGTCCATTTTACACTTCGCAATTCATTGCAAAAAGTTAACCTAAGTCATTAAACAGGTACACCAACTTAGTTATGGAAAGAGGTTCGACAATATACCAAGCAAATTATGGGAAACTTGCCATTTAATAATTGAATAAAACATACATCATTGATAATTCTTCCATATTCCAGTGAGTTAGTTTACGTAACGTAACAAAAATATGTAAAATACCAGGAATGTATACTCTAGGAATTTTTAAACTGGTTGGCAGCTCTTATTTCGGCCATTTTTGCGGTATCGATATACCTAAACCATATAATAATTGTGTCTCTATTTATGACACACTAACACAGTTCTGCAGATTCCACCTACGACTGAAATTAGATTAAATAACTAACCCTTTCTCTTCTAATATGACTTCAAAACTCTTATCTTTTAGAACATTTAAAATATTTTCGTATACAATATGTTAACTTTTCAAACCTCTCTCCCAGAGAACAGTATAGAAAACCAACGCTATTGAATAAACAGAAATACAGTATAATTGCTATCCCACTAAAGGTGTAATCATGCGTCTAATCACATCAAGCAGATAGGCTACTCTCTTTTTCTCTCACGTCTAAATATAATTAAGCGTTTCATCTTTATTCTGCTGGGTGAGTTTGGTTAATATTTCGTAGTCGTACTTTATATCCGAAATTGGCAAACATTCATAATTAAACGGATAATGTCACATTTAAATTATCATTGAGACGATTTTTGCAGCCAATCTAATGAGATTTTGGCTTGTAATGAATTGATTATTTTCTTTAGTTCCAGGTTTTTTTCATGTAAGATAATTTGAGAACGCTGCTTCAAATGATGAAAACTTTTTCACGGAACATAACCTCGAAAAAATATTAATATTATGCAGAGTGTAATGTGTCAAATTTTCAAAGCCACCTCGGATTTAGAAAGAAACTGAACGGCATATATTCTAAAAATGACAGAAAGCTTACCTAGAATTACACCTTAAATTTCAATGGCTTTCTCGCAATATCACCGCATCATTCATTCAAACTTCGTCCACTGACTCTTCATATTGACTTTACTACTAGTACCGAAAGGGTCGAAACTATTTTGATTTTGTACACTGGAAAAGTTAAAATTCAAGCCATATTCCTGCAGCAAGTCTTGATCGTTTCTCGTATCTCTATTCTGCTGTTGAAAATTTTGATTCGAAACGCCACCGTTTTGTTTCGCACCGGTGTTTTCGTATGTGTAGAGTGGATTCGATATTGTTAAAGGAAGTTTGGTTTTGTCATTCGAAGATTTGGATTTTAGCGGGTCGAAATCGTCAATGTCTGATGCGGAATCGAGGCGTATCAGGTCTTCAGTCTCTTGATTGTGCTAAAACGTTTAAATACATGTTAATTTTATTAGAATATATTAAATTTTGAGGTAAAAGTTAATGATCTTTTTAACATTTCGGGACCCACACCTGGTCTGAGAATAAGTAAAAACGTTTTTTCACAAGACATCGCACTAATCTTATAACAAATTGCGTTCTGTGAGAATTTCAAGGAAATTGTTAAAGAGGTGTGATCAAAAAATACGCTTTTTCAGCAGCAACTGCTGACGCTACAACCATTTGATGCATAGCAGGGACAGAAGTTGGAAAAGGCTTTTGCCAGTTCTTCCACTTCATACACAGAATTTGTCTGTTTTGCCGCAGCTAAACAAAGTGAGCGGGAAACATTGGCGTAGAAAATTATTTTAATGATAATAATAACAATTTCACATAGTTTAATAAAATGTGAACACCAGTTGAAATTTTGTAGAGTTTGACCTTTACCACCTCTCTACCTACCAAAACCTTTCCAACTTCTGTCACTGCTCTAATTAGTCCGATAGCCTGATCCGCTGTGACAGGCAGTATCAAGTTGGAACACGTTCTAGAGGTTGTGTTTGCCGTGTCTGTCGCGTATCATGGATTTCGAACAACGCATAGATAATGGCCATGTTCACCGTCATCAAACAGTTTCATTTGATTAGGAATCAAACGTTTCTATGCTTCATGTAAACAGTTGCGATGACAGTGAACGAACAACGGACGGTGTTGCAATTTAAAATAATTTGATATATCTTTACAGAGTTTGTACTTTAAATAAACCTAGGATCTTTTATTATTCAGGTATTGAAATTATTTTACGGTAAAATATGTTACGACACATTTTACTTCAACTTGCACAAATAACACTGCCACAGAAACTTTATTTTAGTTCCCATCTGTTGTGTTGACAAAACTAAACGCAAAACGAACATTACAAATCACAAAACATCTGTCAAATGTAAAATTTCGTTGATTGTTAAACGTAGAAACGACTTTAATTTGTGCTTTTACATTTTAACAAACTGTTTCAAAAAAGATGTTTCGAGTTTGTTCGTTCACCGTCAAAGACGCGTAATCGTATGAAACCGTTTGATGACGGTGAACAAGCTCATTAAGTTCTGCTTTAAATTGCTAAAAAGTGCCAAAGAAACTCATGAGATGTTGAAGTTGGTGTATGGCGATAATTCTGTAACTTTAAAGACTGTTTTCAAGTGGTATGAGCAATTTAAAAACGGAAATGAGACCTTTGAAGACGAGCAACGTTCGGAACATCCATTATCGTCCAAAATTGTTCGTTCAAATAGGCGAATAACTATTCGAAAGCTTACCGAAGAACTTAGAGCCGTATTTATAAACCGACCTCGGCTGAGTCGGACCTGGTTGAGTCGTCCTTGAACGAAAATCGAAGTTTGGTTATAACTTCTCTACTGTTCCAGGTGGTTTCGGTGCTGCATTGGAATTTAGAGGTGGACAGTAGCAAATCCGTAACTGTTGACTACATTTATGGATTTCTTACTACCCAACTCTAAATTCAAGCGATATAACCGAACTTCCATTTTCGTTCAAGGACGACTCGGTGGAATCGGACTCATCTGAGATATGTTTATAAATACGGACAAAAGTATCGTGTACAGGTCCGTGCAAAGCATTTTAACTGATAATTTACAAATTTGATAAGCGAGTGCAAAATTTGTTCCCAGACTTTTGAATTATGAACAGAAGGAAAATCGTGTCTCAGTTTGCACGGAGTTGAAGAACCATCTTCAATCAGATTAGGAATTTATATGCAAAATTGAAACTGGAGATGAAAGTTTGGTCTATAGATCCTGAGATGAAAATTGGGAGTTTCCAATGGAAATCCAGTGAATCTCCTCGCACTAAAAGACACGCCAGTCAAAATCGAATATCATTATTTTTACAGGCTTAAGGTGTCAAAATATTTTTAAGTCTTAATAAATGGCTAAAATATTTTTATATGGACAGGCCTAAGGGATAAAGGGACCAAATATTTTAACATGGGCAGACTTAAGTTATAAATGGACCAAATATTATTCCATCGGCAAGTATAAGGGGTAAAAGAACCAAATATTTTTACAAGGGTAGGCTTAAGAGGTAGAGTCCAATGTTTACATGCGCAGGTTTAAGAGGTAGATGAATCAAATACTTGTATAGCATGCTTAAGAAATAAAGGGACCAAATATTTCTACATGGGCAGGCTTAAGGAGCAATGCTCCCATATATTTTTACATGGGCAGGCTTAAGGGGTAAAGGACCCAGTATTTTTACAGAAATTTTAATTTTTTTTTGTAAAATAGGTCAACAAAAAAAATGTGATTCTATTTAAACTGGAAAAATATAAACTTTATCATGCTGTACACAGATAAAAGACATTTTCGTAACAAACGGTATGAAATATTTATGAGACGATTATTACACTTTGATAATAGCACAAAATTCTGGTAGTCTTTAATCATACAGTATCCAATGTAAGTCAAATATCGAAAAGCTCACATACGCTGTAGAAATAAAACCATTAAATATAAGGTGTGTTCCAACAACGATCAGAAACCAGTCACTGACACCAAGATTCTGCGCAGTAGCATATTGGGACCGCCAAATTACCTACTGCGCGGAATCCTGGTGTCAGTCTGGTTTGTGATCGTTGTAGGAACAGACCCTTAGAATACTAATGATCAGCAGATCGACATCTACCACATATAACAGTTTCGTGATACTCTCACGGAAGGTCATTTGTTATAAGATTAGTGCGGGGTCCTTTGAATATATTTTTAGAGCGCCCTTAGCTGTATTGCACTTAAGTCTTATTAGGACGTAGGCATATTGTGCTTCCTCAAGGGGCAAAGCTTAGTCAATTATTATAGGTAGTTTCTAAAAATTTAAACCGGTATTTAATAATAATTGTCACTGATTAACATGTAAAAAAATTACTTTTATCAATTTTGTTATATTATAATTATATCCGAGATTAAGTGTGAGTTGAGAAAGTTAAAAATTATAAAACTGCATAATTTATACTAAAATTAAGCCTAAAAATAATAAAAATTAATATTAGTATCATTTTCAGAACAGTCACTTTTTTCTTGAAAATAAGTTTAATAATAGTGCAAAGAAAATATGAAGAGCTGTGCTAATGAAACTTTAAATAGGTAGTGAAGATGTTTCACAGAAAGACATCAAATGTCCGAGTCAAAAACTCAGTATCATTTTAAAGAATGTTTTAAAAACGACAAAAATCAAAAATAAAAAATAATTTAAATATTTAAAATGTTTTACAATATGTTTTCTGAGTTTTGCTGATTGAATCAACATTTAATTCAGTACAATAAACAAAAATTTAAATTCGGTTAATTTAAATTTATTATAGCAGAATACTATTTTCAAAGGTTTAAATTATTCTTTATAAACACGAAATCAAATGCAAAAATCGGTTTTTAAGTTTATCCATAATTCACGATTACTTCCAAATGTAGATAACAAAAGAAGACAAGCAGGCAGTACATTTCTAACTCGCTGTTCTGATACTAAAATGTCTGTTGATGGTCGACAAACTGAACTGATTATGAATTTTGCCAATGTTGTTCTCCAGTTTTCACACTCCACCAGTTGAAAACATTCGAAGATAGCAGAAATTACAATATAGGGTAATTTGATGGAAAAATTGAATCAAAAAATATTTCGGATCGAATGTTATGTGTTTGGAAAATTAAATGAATATTAAAATAATCTGTAAAACATTTTGATCTTATATAAAAGCTGCTCTCAAAGTTCTGCAAGTCTAAATCTGAGCCAATGATAATTTATTGATAGTTTTATTAAAGTATTGTAAAATAAAAATTCAATTTTGCGATTGATTCGAAACTAGAAACTGTTGAATAATGATTTAATCAACACTTAAGTAATCATTAATAACAGTTGTAGAAAAAGTCTGATACTTCACATATTTATACTGAAATATATTTATTCTTGTATATTTACGCCATTTTTCAAACATTGTGGGTCACTAAACTACTTATAATCATCATCTGATTTTATCTTTCATGTGAAACGTTCTCGAAACTAAAGAAAAAAAATGGCCTTTACCTTTCGCCTAGGCGAATGCGTTGGAGGCGACAATTTGACAATGTCAACAGAATGCTGATTAGCAACAAAAAACAATGGATCTCCGTTTTCGCTGTGCCCACCACCAACGACAAAGGGTGTGCTGCTAAAGAGATCCCTGCCTACCTCTTTAGCTAGATTCCTAGGGGGTACGGAAGGAGGGGAAAGGAACACGTCGTCGGGGGATTGAAGGAGGTTTTGGGTCTCTTGCGAGTGCCCCAAGTTTTGGAGGAAAAATCGATTGGGAGAGGAAGCAATGGGAGCGGATGCGCGTGATAACGCCCATCTATCGGGACTATTTAAGGGTGATGTATTTTTGAAATTCTCTAAGCTGCGCACTGGTTTAAGCTGCAAAATTAAAACACAAAAGACATGTAGAAAAACGCTGTTAGAAGAAAATTAAAGCATAAAAATTGGATTTTTATAATTATTATTTAATCTTTTTATTCATAAATTTACTGAAAATACTTTGTACGTTAAGGCAAATTAAATTTAAAAACAAATAATAAAACTAATAATTGTCTTGAAATGTATTTATCACTTATTATATTGCATAATCAGATTGCATTTTGGATAACTATAAAGGTGAAAAATTCAAAAATCCTCATAAAAATAATGCCAAGATGCTTCGTTTGCTTTCTCTAAACTATCAAAGCATTCAAAAGCAAAAATCTAACAGCTATAAAGCGATATACTTTCTGCAAGTCTACTTACAGATCTATCGACAGGTGGTGTCTCCAAACGCAACTGTAACAGGTCTTCCATTTCGTTCATCAAATCGATTTGAGGAATATCAATGGGACTACCGCTCCTAGGACTCTCTATTACGTCCGGAGACATAGGTTGGGAACTGGGACTCAGCGGACTATACGATCTGAAATAAAATAATTTTGAATAGAATTTTAAGATGTTTAATCCGTTTAAATGTTGTTCAATATTTTTTTCTTCAGCTATAAACACACATTTATTGACATTGTCTTTCATGGTATGTCAAACATTGCTTTGTAAATATCTGTTTAAAATTAATAAAATGTTATCATACCCTGAACAATTCAAACTATACTGTATGCTTTGTAAAATTTTGAAAATCGAAAGACACATCCTAACTTCAAAAAATTGTTTTACAATAATTCTAATTAAAAGATTATGATTTTATTCATTATCTAAATATATAGGAGAAATCGCCAGTTGATACGGATTTTTTGTTATGTGGACATTCTTTAAATTTTACTTATTCAGTGGAAGCTTTTTAAATCTTCCGTGCCATGCGAGTTCAATAAATAGATTATCAGGATCGGCTTCAGATTAATAATCACACAACTATAAATACATATAACAAATCAATATAATAGTACGAGATACTGTATTAGAAATATACAGGGTGGGCCACTTAAAAGTTCCACCCCTCCTTATCTTCGTTATTTATTGAGATATCGGAATATTGTTTTTTATTTGAAAGACTGGAACAAATACTTTCTTATGATGAATTCAATTATTCTGTGACGTCATGGCCTACTTCCGATTTTTCCGGAAATAACAGAAAATCGCAATTTATTTTTTATTTTTAAATTGAAACTCACTTTTTTTTATTGTAAATTTGAATTTCTGGGATTTTTTGTATAATAATTACTAGAGAAGGAGCAATGTTACGCAGCACCCTGCAGCGTGCTGCGGTCGTCATAAGTAAAAGTACGAGTAAAAGCAGATAGAATAGTCCAGAAATGTCTGTAAATGTCATTACTTGTCAAAAGAAAAAACTAGGCAGTTCGAGAAGGGTCAAGCAAGCTATATAAGCCGATGATCCTGACGTCAGTAGTCAGTTTCATGACAGACGATATAATGTTAATGTTTTTTTTTTTTTTTGGTGTGTCGTCGGCTTCAACTACCAGGGTTATTTCGCCTCGTGTTCTGTGTAGGCTTTGTTACTGTTTCCCAGCGCCACTTTAGGAACAGCACTGTTAATTAGAACGCAACAGTGAATGGTCGAGTGGGGAATCCTACCAAGGCATCAGAATTAATTTTAAATAATTAAATTAAATGAAAAAATTCCGGCCAACAGTGGGATTCGAACCCGGGACCCTTGGATCCACAGGCAGAGGCTTTACCACTGAGCCACCCACCACACATAATGTTAATGTTATTAGTTGTATAGTTATTGTAAAAGTTGAGTTGAAATAAATTGAGATACCAAAAACCTGCGTAACAATATTAACACTAATCGCAAGTACGACTGAATCGATGGACTGTACAGTTCAAATCTCACAAAAATCGTAGCGTGTAGGGCCCAACACTATTCCCACTTCACTAATGTTACGTTTTTTTGTATAGTGGGAAAAGCATGAATAGACAATCATACAAAGACCCTCAAACCAACTAGCCCACTTCACAAATTTCACTAAAATTATTTAGTAGCAATTTAATTTGCCCAAGGCACTTAAGAATATTTCAAAATATTATGAACACTTTCATAATTTTTTGTTTTGATTATTTTTATTACTACTACTACAATTTTTTTTTAATAAAATACAAATTTCATAACTTGTCTTTTAATACACATTTTCTTTAGGTCCGAAGTGGAAAAAATAATTATTAAACTTGGAAATAAACATTTTTGATATAGTCCTAAAACATAATAATTAAATAGCATTAAAAAGATGGTAACTTGACATATGAATAATGATATTCTAATTTGTATCCAATTTTTACTTTCCTGCCTCTATACAGATAAGGAAAGTATAGGATTCATGATTTTTTTTACCTCAAGTTTTCAACGGATTTTTACGTTTTGGGGTCACACGAATCCGTTTTGACTATTTTCGCGATGATGTCTGTGTGTGCCTGTATATTTAATAACTCATGAACGGATAGGGAGAAAAACACCAAATTTTAAACTTAAGCTTCATCCTACCTGCAGTGAGCTGATTAGATTTTGGTCATAGTCGGAACATTTGGAGGGTACTTTATAAGGGGTCGTTTTTCTTCTTTATTGACAATATCTGTTATTTACGCTTAGTGAAGAAAATTCTTCAAATAAAGGTTGCTGTCTCTATAATTTTTGTCCTATACATAATTTTCCTAAAATAGTTCGAATTGGAAAAAATTGGGTCATGTTTCTACTTTATGCAAAATTCGAATGTTTAAGAAAATTGTTCAAATAAAAGTTGTTTGAGATAGCATTTTCTATAATTTTTGTTTTATACATGATTTCTCTAAAATGGATCGTAATGCAAAAATTTGAGGAAAAGTGAAATTTTAATTTTTTAATATTTTCGTTGGCAATAATTATATTATAAAAAAATGTTTTAAGATGTGTGTGGAAAAGGCATGTATGTAGTTCATCCTATAAACATTTAACACATGTGTTACAATAGATTGTACAAAATAACCGGAAAAGCCTGTAATAAATAGACAGGAAAGTCATGTGTTGGACATATCAGATTTTTTAAAAAAAAATTTAAAATGCGTTTTCCTAACAATTAACATATTTGCACTTACGTCAATGTTTCTCCGGAGAACCATTTCAAAATGTAATAAAGGCTGTTTTCCACAAAACTGCACTCCACCTCACCTGTCATTCTTACCTCATGCACTAGTAGTTCATTTGTTTAATTTTCTGTTTTACCAAATATAATTATTACAAAACACCGAATTTGTTTACTGGCGAGGTTGCAGTCAAAATGCAAAATCTTGATTGTCGTTCTATATAAATTTTGATACAACCTGTAATAAAATAATAACCTTTGCATAGCTGAACTTTTAAGGGCTAGAGCTGCATCTTTACGGTAAGTTGCCACGGGCGCACTGAATCCAGCTATAGTTCTTCGTTTCCCTGTGGGAGAATTCGGCGCCGAACGGTGTTTGTCTCCCCTTTCCAAACCATTTTCTAACGGATGTGGACCCTGGTTGTCTTTTAATTTGGAACGAAGACCTTTGTAAGCACTTTTTACGCCTTTTCCGCCGTCCTTCACCTAAAACAAGAGTAAATATTATCTTAAAAGTCCCTATTTGGTTTAAGAATATGATTTTAAAGAAATTACTTTACCGTCTTCACTGCCGATTTCATGGCAGGATTGGCCTAAAAGATAAAAAAGTTACACATTAATATTAATTTTAATTTTCCGTCAACAACGTTTACCTTATCCTTAACGCTTTTGAAGAAAGCTGTACCTTCTTTCTTCATAGTCGTCGTCCACTCTTTGTACTGTTGCTTAAGTTTTGAACCGGATTTTGCCGAATATCCTTCAATTTCAAATTCGAATTCATCCGAAAAACCCTGACCTGTATTTAACATCATTAACCTCTCTTCGATAAACTAAAAATTTCAAAAACGTAAAATATTAAAAAACAATTGTTTAAAATTCGAATTTCCAGGAATATTATACCTGTTGAAAAATTTGTAAATGAAGCATCTCCCTTAGAAAAGGTTGTAATGAAGGTGGCCTGGTTTCGATAAACCTTTCTTCGTCAAAAGTGACTTTCTGACCAGGCTGAAATTTGAGGGCGTCTCTGTAACCGCCAATTAATTGAACAAGTGCTCGTAAAAAAGCCCTCGATACTCCGTCACCCAGTTGCTTGTTTTTTAATTGCTTCCTCAAGGAAGTTACCTACAACATTAACAATTATGAAATTAAATTTAAAATATTTATGTTAAAGATTGTATTATTACATAACAAAGATTATATTACTAGACAAATTAATCATGTAATATCTCATCCATTTGCAAAATGCAGGGTGTTGTATTGAAATACATGTACTGGGTGTCCAAATAAGAAAGGAAGCCGGTTATCGGCGGATGTTGGATATCTCAGAAACTATGCGTCGAAACATTTTGGAAAAAAAAGTATTAAATATAAAAGTGTTCAAGAAGAATCGCTAGAAATCAAGTCTCCAACTTCACCACTAGATGGCGTAATGCTTTTATTGCCAATGATACATAACTTAATTTACATAATATTTGGATCTTTCAGTTATGTATGGTATATAACATAAGACTTCAAATATTAGTCCTCTAAAGCAGGGAACGGCAACCTTTTTGTCGTAATATACTCGTGTATTCAAAAGTTATAGGGGGCACAATGTATATTCAAAAGTTATAGGGGGCACATGTATAGTCAAAAGCTATAGGAGGCGCACAAAAAAATATTCTGCTGATTACGTTGCTCTTGCGCGATTATATTGTTTTGTACAATACACAGCCATCTGGTAAAGGCCTTATGGAAGTAATACAAACGGTTCATATTCGCACATTTAGGGCAGTTAACATTGTATGTGTGTAATATAGTGAGGGTGCATAAAAGTCTCACCGACGCCTGTATTGTCGTCCCCTGCTCTAAAGTAAATACAATTATTTGATTTACTGCTTTTTATGGTACTCCATAGTTACTCATTAATCAACGTTATTTTGTCGGTTCCCATACAGCACAAACACATTTCAGAAATATTTCAAAATTGTTACATTGAAACATTTGTAATGTTGTATAAGTATTACGAAACATCCCAGAAACATTTCTGAAATGTGCCTGAAACGTAAAAATGTCTTGTAAATATAATATTTCACAGTAATATTTCTGAAATGAAAATTTGAAATATTTTAGAAATATTAAATAGTAATATTTCAGAAATGTATGTTTTTTTTCTAAAATTTTATTAGACTAAAAAAAGACATTTAAAAATATAAATGTTTATTTAAAATACACAAAACACAGATTCTTAAACAAACAAATAAATATTTTTTATACATTTCATAAAATATAAAAGCAAATCGCTTCATTTCCACCAATTCCTTTAAATGTACTAATCTGAAACACATAGGTTTTTTTTATAAATGCTCCAAGTAAAGAAACATCTACGATTATTACAATCTGCTCATTAGGATCAATTAGCAATTTTATTCTAACCTAACGTATCTAGTGATGAAAAATTTTATAAACTAAGATTCTACTCACTAGTGTACCTTGTTCCACTACCGTTAACGTATAACACTTAACAGCACTATTCTCTGCTTTAATCTTACATTACCGAACTAACTCATAAGGCTTGGTTCTCTTGAGTCTTCTTATTAGATTGGCATTGTTGAGGAGCTGTATAATCTCAAGGTTTCCATATTGGAGCAGTCGTTGTTGATGACTACTGGCAAATCTGTATTGTATTTTCATACATTATACAACTAGACGACTGAAAATTTTCGATTATACGAGACGTATTGCCTGAAATTGTTTTGTTAGGCAATACGTCGAGTTTCGGAAATTTTCAGTTGTCGAGTTGTATACAGATAGACTATAGCACGAAATTATTAAAAAAAAAATAAAAATAATGAAAAAAAAAAAAAGAAAAATAAAGAAAAAAAGAAAAAAAAAAAGTTTCCTAGGGGAATCGAACCCTGGACCTTGCGATTGCAGAGCGAGAACTCTATCGCTAGACCACCTGGATAATTTAAATAACATTTCTATTTATATATATATAGTAGGTAGACAGCAATCTACTAAATTTCAAGTTATTTCAAGTTCTATTTACCTACAAAAAAGTTCATGAAATGAAAATAAAAAGTACATAGGTAATTTGTTTTATTTAAATTTATTTATTACTTATATTGAACGTACAATTATTAAAAACACTATTTGACATTGGAGCCACGGCACTTGTAGAGCAAAGAGTGGAGGATGTTGTAGTTGTCTCATTTCTTAAATTTGATATAATGTTCTTATGATGGTCCTCATTTAACTGCAGGTATGGTTGTATTGAATGCTCTGAAGTATGACCCGTAATTTTAATAATTTCTTGGACACTAGTGCCTGCTTTTGATAATCCACTTATTGCGGTCGATCTGTTAGAATGATTGGTTATTTTTACCTTTTTTGTATCGATTCCTATAGCTTCTGCAGACAGTTTTGTCCATTTATTAATTTCGTTTACTCCAAGTGGACAATTTTTATACCAGCAACTAGTCGGATATTTGTCCCAGTCTTTATTTACAGTAAGAAATAGACGTCTGGTTTTTATATTTTTGGTCCGTTTGCTCATCATTTTATTGTACAATCTAACAGGACAATGAGTGGGGTTTTGTGTATTTGGAGTTAACCATTTACTATCAGTAGTTCGTTGATTTCCTCCTTGGGCAGTTTTGGAAAAAACAGTATTATATTCAATACGTCCTGTTTTCTTGCCGTAGTTGTCTGTTTCTTCCACAAAATAGTCTAAAAGAGCTGACACAGCCTCACCACCACGCCAGGCTAGTTCTATGGCTGCAATATGATAAAATTTACGCTGGAGTCCGGAGGGTGTATTTTCATCTAATGCATTTAGAATTTTCTCAATATCTTCAATATTTAATGCAATAGAGCTACTCTTTCTTTTTGACGGAATAGCTTGAAGTTGTTTGCGTTTGGCGTTTTTCACGAGTACCGCAGTGCGAAAAACAATATCTTTAAATGGATCGATGGTGCGATTAAACTCTTTGAAGTATTTCTGCTGCACTCTTTTGGCAGTAAGATTCCAAATAGTTTTCACTACACCTTCCTTGTAGTCGGTGCCGTCGGCTTTTCTCATGTTGATTGCCCAATCTTTAAGAATGTTGCAAAGTTCTTCATTAGAAGTATTTTCAGTTAACTGATAACTGCGGTCATCACAAAACTTTTCAAATTGTCGCGAAACGAATGATTCGGTTTTTACCGTGTTGGTTGGTTTACTATTTTCAATAATTTTATCAATTAATTCCGTAGAAATATTGCTAAACCGAGCCATGATCAAAATTGACAACTGTCAAATTTTGAAATGGAGATCACAGTTACCTATCCCTCGAGTTTTGACATAAGTGAATATTCGAACTCTTGTATATTCGATTATACAAGGGTTCGAATATTCGATCTGCGTCATAATAAGTAAATAACCGTTGTAATACATGATAACTATGGAAAATCGAGCGTTTTCATTGGTTCATATTTCAATGAGTGGTATAGTCAACAGTATCCACTTTAAGATCCCTATGAAGATCAGTATTGCGGCAGTACCAGGGTGCATCGAAGATGTTTCTTAATACCTTACTCTGGAAACGTTGACTAACTTGGATGGTACTTTTGCTGGCACATCCCCAAAGCTGGCGAATTGCTTCATTTCCACGAATTCCTTTAAATGCACTAATTTGAAACAAATTATAGGTAATTGAAAAGGATTTATACAAATACTTATGCCTAAATAAAACATGAAGCTCCGCTTTTCAATCGGCTGTAGAACTAATAAATAAAACTGGTGTAGGACCCACCCCAATTTCTAAAGAAATATTCTGCTTCCCATATAACAACAGCACAACGCATAAATAAATAAAAGAAATGGCAAAAACCGACAACTCCAATCTATAATTATTTAGAATATAGGGTTGTCTCTAGTTGGTAGGCTGGACAAGAAATAAAATAACTACATATCCCATCTTCTTCTTCTTCTTCTTACAAATCAGAAATTCTTCATTAAGTGTTGGTCTTTTACAACACAACTCGTTTAATAACCTTTTGTATAACATGTATTGTATACCATGTTTCAGAATCATTTTTAGTGAAATATTTAACTAATATATTTCAGAAACTTGTGCTTGAAACGTTTGAAATATTTCTGAAACGCTTATGAAATAATGTGTGCTGTATGGGTTGTTGGTATCGGAGCCCCACAACTGATATATTTCACTGGTCACTTGTCTTATTTCTGTCCAAAATTTCAGACTCGATGAGATTAAACCTAATGCATCTTTTTTTTCCAAAATAATCTGCCTGGTGTGCTTAGAAAATGAACCATGGAATATCAGGAAATATTTTATGTGGCTTCTGCAGGATGAGGCACCTGCCCATTTTAGACAGGAAGTGCGGTAGTTTTTTAGACATTATTTTCCCGAATAGGTGGATTGGTTGAAATGGACCAGTTGCGTGGCCAGCGAGGTCACAAGACTTAAACCTTTGTGATTTTTCCTTGTGGGGCTACATGTAAACTTTAGTTTACAAAATGCCGGTAAACCATCGGAAGAATTAATTACATGCATAGAGCAAACTGCAGAAACAATTATAGGAAAATCGAGACAGTGGTTACATCGAGCAGAGTGTTGTGTTGAAGTGAATGGTGACAACGTTGAACACATTATTTAAGTTAGATAGGACCGTATTGAATACATTTTAGAATACATTAATGTCAGTTTATTTTTAAGTTTTTTTTTTTTTTGTGAAAAAGTTGTTATTTTAATGACTTCTATACACAGTTTATAAAGGTACTAACTTAGGATTCACCCTGTAATATGTATTCCAATAACACCCTGTAGAGTGACAAATATGCTATATAGGTATTTTAATTTGAAGTTACTTGTATGTTGCATTTCATGAACCTATTGACTTTGTTGAAATATATATTTTACTAAATATTACGTTTTAATTACTGTACTTCTTTGTTCTTCCAACTAACGATAATTTAAATTGATATAAATGAGACAATCGATGAAAAATAAAAAAAAGAAATGAACCATTTAAAAACGTATAACAAAGAGCGCAAAATCTTTGGAACATCTGTTAGTTTCTATAAAATCAAGTTGAATTGAAATAATATTAAGAAACTTACCACTTCTTGAGGAAGACTATTTAAATCATCAAAAGGCGTTTCTACGGTATTTGCGTCAGTATCTAATATTACTACATCACCTATTTCGCTTCTTCTAACTTGCTACAAAAAAAAAAAACTTTTTTATTGGCATACAACACGAAAAATTTCAGAACATTCTTACGACATTTTTCGCGGAAGCAACGACCTTTAAGAACGTTTTTACAAAAATAACATTCCCATTTGTATTTTTGAATTTTACTATACATACAGTGAGCATCATAAGTCTTACCCCCCTAACTAACTCGTTACTGGTGTCTTGTTAGGAAAATCGCAGAGACACGTCGATTTTTGATTTCTACAATGTATATTTTTGTATGAATAGTTTACCCTTAATTTCATCCCTTACTGGAGGGAAGCAACCCTTTCGAAAAATTTAAATGGCATGGGGTGGTAAGTGATAGCTCATTTGAAAGGGGGTTTTATTCTCTATTCAACCGTGTAAAAAATTTTGCAATTTGATTCATTACGTGTTGACTTATTAATGTTTAAAAATAACAAAACATCACAAATAGGAAAGCAACTATACTAACAGTGATCTTATCTAATGGCAAAAAGTCTTACTTCACGTCTGAACCAAAACCGATATCATGCAGGGCCGAATTTTATTTCTAAGGATGAGTGCGCTACGTTAATTTCCGTTATTATGAAACAATAATTAGTCACGAATTAATGAAGCAAATTTCAAAATTTTTTGCACAGTTGAATAGAGAATAAAACCCCCTTTCAAATGAGCTATCACTTACCACCCCATTCTATTTAAATTTTTCGAAAGGGTTGCTCCCCTCCAGTAAGGGATGAAATTAAGAGTAAACTATTCATACAAAAATGTACATCGTAGAAATCAAAAATCGACGTGTCTCGGCGATTTTCCTAACAAGACTCTAGTAACGAGTTAGATAGGGACTTATGATGCTCACTGTATATTAAATTTTTTTAACATTCGGATCCCCGTGCTATCACCCTAATCCGTTCTTGGCATGGCGGCACTGCAGCCTGTGGCTTCTTGTGCCACCATTTGAAGATCCTACTACTTTCTCAGTCATTCACTCATTCACTGACATTCATTCCACGTCGACCATGGTTAAACGCTAGTCGACTAGGTCCCATGGTGGAACGTTCCAGCCGTCACACATCCACGACGTGATCGGAGACCTCACTGCTTAACTGTTGCGAGAACATGGATGCATACTAATCTCGCGGCTAGCCTCTCCGGCTATATACTTACTTTAAAAACTTCTTCAGGCACTCCAATAAGGAAAGGCATGGGAGCCAATAAATAATCTATAAGCGACATCGGCAACACCGGTATAAATATGTGTTGCCAAATCATGGGGTATATGATATCGTTCGCCGATTGTACGCAGGCGCTTAACCGTTTCAATTTTTTCGAAGTAAATATTATTCGCCTTTCAAATAGCATCGATGCAAAAATTACGGACATCGTATGTGTATCCACTGCGTTGAAGTACTCTGTGAGGTTTCTCTAAAAAAAAAAAATAATAACAAAACAGAATGTAGAGTGTCCAGTATTGTCCAGGCATTTGAATATAACAAAATTTGTTGGTAAATGCTTAATAAAAAGCTTGAAAGGATTAATACAAATCATGAAGAGATTAACCTTGTTTTAATTTCTCGCAAAGAATATAGTTTAATTAGTTCACCATTAAAATATTGTAGGTACTATTGTTTTTCAGCTGAGGGTAACTTTAATTACTGAATGCATGAATTTTACATTTTATTGCATCCAATGGATACTAATAGTGTGATGTCACTGATAACAAAGCAACCATATCGACTATTGTCATAGTTGTCCACATTTTATGCTTTGTTGGCCATTGATTGTTTGGAAACGTACATATTACCAACTTTGTTATATGCATTTCGAATACTTACATTTTCAGGTATACTAGGCAATTGAAACGGTCTGGGTACATCTACTGAAAAATTCTGAAAACAAAATAAATATTAATTCGTTACTAGGTCCACATTATACAATTTTACAATGGTCTTGATCAGATTTACATACGCTTTCTCCTCTGTTAATAGGAACGATAAATTTCCGACCGGGCTCCGCTATTTTCGCATTGTATACGGCCGTTAAAAATTCTCTGAGATCTTCGCTTCTTGAACTGTGCATTAATACTGCAGTAGTATCTAAAAATCTTAAAAAAAAACAAGTAAATATATATCTTACAAAAAGAAGCAAATGCTTTTCTCAAGAATCGAGTAATATTATACTGCTTAATGAGCAAGAAATTGTACTCATTTCCTAGGAATATATTTACAATATGGACCGCAGGAGGCAGAGGTAGGAAATGAGCATTCCTTGTGAGTTGAACAAAATATACTTTTTCTATAACTATTAATTTTGTAATTTATAAAAAAAGATTTCTACACCCACATGGATATTAGCTTATCTACGTACAGACTACAAAACAAAAAAGTATACTATTACCATTAACTGAACGAATATATTTTATATCCATTCGATGTACTGAGAACACTGCAAAAAAAATTAAATCCACCAATGACAGTTCATATTTTGGTCACCCGACGACTATTATTTTTAAAATTTTAAATAACTAAATTGTCAGTATATTTTTTAGTTTATGAAATTAAATATACATTAAAATTACTTATTTTTGTATAGAATCGATAAATAATAGCATTTTTATTTATACTATAATTATAAATAATTTGTTAATTTTAATAAAACTATGAAGTCAGTTCAATTACGAGTATAAAAAATATTTCCCAAATATGCCGGTGAATGGGTGGTGAGAGTATCTGACTTTCACGCGAGAAACCCAAGTTCGAGCCTCGGCTGGGGACTTTTAAATTAATTTTTTTTCGTTTATTTTAATTTAAAAATTATTAAAAGTCATAAATTATTTTAAAATTAGTTATGTTGCCTTAATAACCTAAAATATATTTTTTATTTGTAAATTTTCGTTAGTTGGTCGTAGAAAAAAATAGACTGTACAACTCGAGTGATTAAATTTCGTCTTTGTGCGATATGGTCATCATATCCACTCTTGTTGCACAAACTACTATTCCCCCTTTAGATAATTATTTAATGATTAATTTTTGATATTTCATGACACACATGATTTTATTAAAATAATTAGGGAATAAATACTGTGTTATCAGATAAGGATCTGATACGGAAATGATCATATATGATAGAACGAGTGGTATTGGAACTATCGATAATCGCTTTAGCTAATGCATAAAACATGTTGTCAAAAATTAATTTCACGAGTCAGAAGTATGTTATTATTTGACCATACGTTAAGTGCCTTAATTTATGTGATATCCATAGTCTCGATGCCAAAAGTTGTATTCAATAAATTATATCACGAATTAATAAAATACGACAGCTCAATAATTTACAGTTGCCTACATTACAAAAGATCTTTAAAGCATTCAAACGAAATAGATGGTTATAACGAAGTTGATTGGAGATAATAAAGAAAATAAATAAAAATGAAGGGTAACCAAAAATCCCAGAGCTCCTGGGGACACCAGAGTGAAGTAACTTAAAAAGTCGATTGATTCTTATTGTTGCATAAAACCATCTAAATGTACCAAATATGATTATCAACTATTAGTCAAGTACATGATGTATGATTATCAACTAAAAGTATAGGAAATGATTACATTGTTAGTGATATTATCAGATAAGGATCAGATACAGAAATGTATTATCAGAATTATCAAATAAGGAAATATACCTCATTTCTTAATCAACAATAGTTGAGAAAGTGTAGTATGGTGGCGGTGCGCCATAGCATAAAATATAAAGTTTTTGATTTTTTAATAATATGCAAGGCTTCTGTTAGAGATGATGTATTTTCAAACTTGATACATACAGATCATCAAAATATATTCATATAACAAACTTCACAAAACCATAACAACTTAAAACTATAGAAACAACCAAGAAGGTAAAATATACAGGTAGTTTCGCAAGTGAACACCACAAATATTCCCCCTCCTGAAAAAAAATTATTTATGCTTGATTATAAGTGTTTACTGCGAAGGAGACTTTCTTTTTGTTAGATTTTTGATATATAGTCTCAGATTCGCTAGTTAGTAGAAAAGCAGGTTTTACCCTGTCGATATTGATAATAGTTTCTTTTTCACCCTTCTCTATAACGATATTGTTTGAGAATTTTTTTTTAACTTTATAGGGTCCTTCATAAGGTGGTTTAAGAGACGGCTTGATTCCCTCAACTCTGACAAAAACGTATTTGCATGAATCTAACTCAGGATACACAAAAGGTTTTTCTTTGCTATGATTTGATGTTGTTGTCGGTTTAATGTTCGCAAATAGTTGTCTTAGATTGGCCAATAAAGGATAAGTGTCAATGGCATCATTAGAATTAACGAAAAATTCACCGGGTAATCGCAGAGTTTGTCCATATACGAGTTCAGCCGAAGAGCAATGAAGATCCTCTTTGACTGTAGCTCGTAAACCTAGTAAAATTAAGGGAAGTTCATCTTTCCAGCGATTTGTATTACATCTAGCTATTAAGGCAGTTTTAAAAGTACGGTGAAAACGTTCTACCAAACCGTTACTTTGAGGGTGATAAGTTGTGGTATGGATTTTGTGACACCCTAAAAATTTTGTTAACTCCAAAAATAACACGGATTCAAATTGAGTACCTTGGTCAGTTGTAATTGTGTGCGGTACGCCAAAACGACAAATGTACCGGTTAAATAAACATTTGGCAACTGTTTCCGCGGCGATATTCGAAATTGGGTAAGCTTCAGGCCATCTTGTGAATCTTTCTACGATCGTTAGGATATAACGATAGTTGGACGATTGAGGAAAAGGCCCTACTAGATCTACATGGATATGTTGGAATCTTCCTTTAGGAATGGTTAAACTTTCTAGTGGGGATTTATTGTGTTTGTGTACTTTTGAACGCTGACAATTTAGACATGATTTTGCCCAGAGTTTGATGTCTGAATTCATGTGTGGCCAAAAATATTTACTTCCTACAAGTTTTTTAGATGCTTTGATACCAGGATGACAAATATTGTGCAAATGTTCATACACGCTATATCTGAGGTTTTTAGGTATGTAAGGACGTTGTATAGGTGATGATGCGGAGACTTGCTTTCACATACATGCAATTCCTCATCAGTTTCAATAAATGGGACTTCTATCTCCAATTCTGAACCTTGTTCTCTGTCGGGTGTGTCAATTTCATCTGAGAAGATAAATTTTTCCCTTGCATCGATTCTGTAAATAATCACAATAAAGTGAAAAATACATTCATTTCCATTTACTATCAGAATGTCAGAGGGCTTCGGACAAAAACTAACCAACTTTTCTTGAGTTCAAATTCCTGTAACTATGAAGTTGTAACTTTAACTGAAACTTGGCTAAATGATACTTTTGTTAATTCTGAGTTCTTTTCCAATCAATATACAGTTTATCGACGCGATAGGTTATACAATCAGCTCGAATGTGAACGTGGCGGCGGAGTACTTGTTGCAGTACTATCAACTATACAAGCTTCTTTATTATCCACACCTAAGATAGCGTCTTACGATGACATTTGGGTTCATATCAAAAATGAAAATTTTAAATTTATTTTGGGTAATGTCTACTTTCCCCCAAATTCGAATTCTGAAGTTTATCAATCCTTCTGCGACACCTGTGAAAATTTAAAAAATACTTACGAAAATACTAAGTTTATTATATATGGAGACTTTAATCTTCCAGACATTCAGTGGTATTTAGATGATAATGTACTTGTCCCCAATCGAGTTCCGACGCAGTCGGCTGCAGTTTTAGTTGAATCGATGTTTTTTCTCGAGTTTCAGCAATTTAATTCCATCCGTAACAGCCGTGGAAGATTCCTGGACTTAATTTTTGCAGACGATTTTAATGACATTTCTGTAATAGAATCTCAAATGCCTTTGTTACCTTTAGATTCTTACCATCATCCTGGTTTAGAAACAATTTTAAGTTTTAGTTTCACTGGCCCTTTGATAATTAATCATGAGCTATTGATATATCAGTATCCTCAGGCAGATTTTACTAAACTTAACTTATATTTGGAACAAACTGATTGGTCTTTTTTATACAGTACTGTCGATCTTGATGTAATGGTGGATATGTTTTATAAACACCTTTTTAAGGCCATTGACTTATATGTTCCTAAAAGAAAAATAAAAAACCAAAAATATCCAAAATGGTATGATGGCCCTCTGAGAAAACTAATATCTAGAAAAAACAGAGCATATAATAAATTTAAAAAGACTGGATATGCTTCAGACTACAAAACATATTCCGACATTCGACGTGAGGTAAAATATCGCATTGATCTATGCTACCTTACTTTTGTTAGCAATATTGAACATGTAATTCCTGAAAATGTAAAATATTTTTGGACATTTATTAATAGCCTAAAACGTACAGAACATATGCCGTCTATCATGAAATACAACAATGATTCTTTAAAAACACCTTCATCTATCGCTGATACTTTTGCACTACATTTTGAGTCTTGCTACAGTAACTACAGCACTCTTGACTTAAATCACTTGGAATCAGTAAAATTTGGTTCCCATCTCTCATTTCACATCTTTAAAGAAGATGAAATAAAGAAGAAAATGTTGGATCTCGATCCTTCCAAAGGTTCTGGTCCAGATGAAATACCACCTATCCTTCTCAAGAAGTGCCCTGCTTTATCTGCACCACTGTGCACAATTTTCCAGAGATCATTCGACAGAGGATATGTCCCGTCCAGATGGAAATATTCTAACTTGGTTCCAATTTTTAAGTCCGGGGATAAATCAGACAAAAAATTATCGAGGCATTTCTATGCTATCAGCAATTCCTAAGCTGTTGGAATCAATCTTAACAGATGAATTATTTTATACGTTTAGGAATTACATAATAGATGAGCAGCATGGCTTCTACAGAGGCCGTTCAACTACTACTAATCTGGCTATTTATCAGGAGTTTATTACCTCTTCGGTTGAAGCTGGTTACCAAGTTGATACAATTAACACCGACCTCTCTAAGGCGTTCGATAGTGTATGTCAGCAGTTACTTTTAAAGAAACTATCTGAAATTGGGATAACAGGCAATTACCTTAAGTGGATTAAATCCTATCTTATTAACCGTCGGCAGCGTGTTACA